CTCTGTCTGTCCATATTTATATATCTACGTATCTGCTGTATAATTACTTGCCACCTGTATTTCTATCCATCTATTTACCTGCCTTTCGACAATAGGAGAAAAAAACAACCCATTTACAAAAAAATATTTTTCAGGCCAGGTGACGTCACACTGGGCAAGGATCAAACTCAGGTTCCAGGTCTCGCTCTGGCGTTCAATAAAAACCACGGTAAGTTCCACACGGTAGGTTTTTGGTGGTGCTTATGTTTCGCGCCTCTTTCATTGGAGATATTACGTTATGTAAGAAGCGATACCATTTTTTGGCGCTGCTCCTGTGGCGACAAGGTCGTGTTTACATCGGCTCTGCTTGTTTTGGAGCTCTTTTACTGTTTCTGTTTGGACTGTGTGTCTGAAACTTTCCTTATTCCACCATGGAGGTGCAGTGCTGTGTTCGGACTTTTAAGTGCATTTTTTTATGTATAATTTTTTTGACATTTTTCGGTGAAATAAGACCTTTACCAAACTACTCGAGATTTTCCTCCATTACGTATAGCCTAGCCATGTTATTAAACCTCCGCCCCCAGTGCCTGAGTTTTTGTCACCATGCTCAGTACGACTTCCCGCAACAACAGAAACGGAAGAGAGGGAGGAAAGGAGGGATCTAGGGAAAAAACAAGCGTAGGAAAGCCTGACCCTTTGTACCAGCTATTGTGTTTGGCAACACTAGATCTTTAAACAAGAAATTAGAAGAACTGTCAACATGCTGTCGACATTTTAAAGAATAGCGTGACGCTTCGTTTCTTGCGTTCACCGAGACATGGTTTGAATCAACGATGGCCGACTCAACAGCACACATGGACGACTTTCACATTTTTCGCTGCGAACGAACCCCTGCTGCCGGAAAGACCAAAGGTGGCGGCGTGTGCTTCTATGTTAACCACCGCTGGGAACACCGTAACAACATCACTCTTAAAGAAACACTATGCACCCCCAACATTGAACTCCTTACTGTCAACGTGAGGCCTTTCTACCTGCCCAGGGAGTTTACTGGTGTCATCATCAACGGTGTCTACATCCCACCCCAAGGCACGGAGAGCGAGGCTGTTGAGATCCTAGCGTCTCGCATTCACAGGCAACAGTTACAGTCACCGGATGCTGTCACCCTGACTTTTGGTGACTTTAACCATTGCCGTCTCGACTCGTTACTTCCCCACTTCCACCAATATGTTACGTGCGCCACAAGGTTACAAAAGACCATCGACCTGTGTTTTGGCAACGTCAAGGACGGCTACAAGTCTCTCCCCCTTCCACCGCTGGACTCAGATCACAATAACATCCTTCTGATCCCAAAGTACCACCCCCTGCTCAAGACAAAGAAACCAACAACCAGGACGATACCATCATGGACAGACGACACGACCGAGCAGCTACGGGGATGCTTCGACTCTACAGACTGGGACATGTTCAAAGACACCTGCAAGGACCTTGACGAACTTACCGAAACCATTTGTGCTTACATTAGGTTTTGTGAAGAAACTGTTACTATTTATAAAACCCTTACGTACTATCCAAATAATAGCCATGGGTAACGAAAGAACTGAAAGATCTTATAAAAGAAAAACGGAAAGCCTTTAGAAGTAATAACATAAATGAAATGTACTTGATATCTAAAAAAAATAAAAGAAAGATTGTTCATTGTAAACAAAGGTAAAAAACTAGAATTGAGAGCGAATTTCAGACAAATAGTATGAGAAATATGTGGTCCTCTTTGAAAAAAATAACGGGTTATACTGCAGCAGGAGAGAGTGTGCAAGTAAAAAATGAAAGAGACTATGTAAATGAGCTAAACAACTTTTATTGTCGTTTCGACAGTTTTGATTTTGAGAATGAGCAGCGTGATCTTAAACAGAGGCTAAGAGACGAGCTGAGCAAGGAGGAGTGTGTTGAGCTCAGTGAGCGGAGTGTTAAAAAGAAATTCCAAAGTGTAAACATAAACAAAGCCTGTGGTCCAGACGGAGTGAAAGGGAGAGTGTTAAGAACTTGTTGTGAGCAACTGCCATTGTTATAGATATTTACCTTCATTTTTAACCTGACTTTACACAAAAACTACATTCCTACAATATGGAAAACATCGGAGGTAATACCTTTTCCAAAAAAGCCTAAAATATATGAATTAAATGACTTAAGACCAGTCGCTCTTACATCCATTGCTTTCAAGTGCCTTGAAAAATTGATCCTCTCTAATATTAGGTTGTGTTCATGGAAATCTAGACCCATTCCAGTTTGCATACAAACAAGAGAGGAACGTAGAAGATGCTGTACTTGTTTTTTGTGACTCTATACTGAAACACCTTGAAGCATCGAAAACGTAGATCTATACGAGGGTACTTTTGTAGATTTTTCCTCAGCATTTAATTAAATTCAACCGCATATCGTCATTGAAAAACTTCTAAGACGGAGAGTTAGTCATCATATCGCAGCATGGGTCCTGGAATTTTTGACAGGCAGACCACAATATATGTGAAGCTAAACAACACAAAATCTGACACCATTCTTTGTAACACCGGCAGTCCTCAGGGGTGTGTTTTGTCACCAGTTTTGTATACTATATATACCAACGATCATAGAAGTATATATAAAACAACACGCTTAATTAAGTTTGCAGATGACTCTGCTATTATTGGATTAATAAACCTTGATGAAAAAGAGTATTTCGAAGACATATGTAGGTTTTTTCTAAAAGCGAACCTCTCAAAAACAAAGGAAATGATTTTTTATTTTAGAAGAGAAAAACCAACAATCCCACCACTCGTAATTGAACAAGAAACTATTGAAATCACGGATTCATACAAATATCTTGGCCTCAAAATAGACAACAAATTTACATGGCAAAACCACGTAAACAATACCGTTAAAAAGGTAAATCAGAGGCTGTACTTTCTGAGGAAACTAAAGTCTTTCAATCTGAATCCACCCATCCTTCAGATTTTCTACACCACCACAATAGAAACTTTGATAAATATTGGTATCACTTGCTATGGTAGCAATCTAGGAAAGCAGCACATTATAAAAATAAACAAGTTGATAAGAAAGGCATCAAGAACAATTGGTAGAGTCCTAGGTAACTTTGAATATCTGCACAAGACAAACGTTCTAAAAAAAAGGCGGAAATAATGTTTAATGACCATAGCCACCCACTGACATCGGAATTTCAACTATCGACCCGCAGTAAATGATACATTTCCAAAAAAGCAAGAACAGACAGATATAGAAATTCATTCGTACCAACTGCAGTGAGGTTACTGAACACCCAGTGCTACAAATGAAACAGAAAGAGAGAGAGAGAGAGAGAGAGAGAGAGAGAGAGAGAGAGAGAGAGAGAGAATGAATGTTTTACGGAGCGGGTTGTCCCAGCCCGTGAGACATGTATTTACTTGGCCTAATGTCCTGTCTTGTTGTGCGTTTTTTAAGTCTAACTTTTGTAACGTCTACTGCCATTGTTAACGACCAAGACAAATTTCTCCCTGCGAGATGAATAATGATTGTCATTGTCATTGTCATTGTTGTACGGTCTGTCACCGGTTGAACTGCCCAAATAATCCGTTTTTTCTGTTGTTGTTGTGTTGTTGTTGTTGTCGTTGTTGTTGTTGTTGTTTGTTAAAAAAAACATCCAAAAGAGGATAAATGAATGGCGAATCATGGTTGCCGACGGCCGTTTGAAATCTGCCATTCATAATGATGATACTCTGTTACAGGAAAAAAAGAAACTTCTGTTTGTTGCCTGCATGTCGGAAGGCTTGGCTTAGAGAGATCATGTCTGGTATCAGAGTCTCACTATATCTTTCTTGGCTGTCCTCTGGCCGTGTTACCAAGCAAAATTTTGTTAAGCACCCTGGGCCTGTAATTTTACTAGCTGTGTTGAATCTCCTAGATTCTGACCAATTTCCTTAGATTCTAACCAAGCATAGTCGTTATCATAGAAGCTGAAAATACTCACATTTCTCCATCATCCAAATTTCTTTAATAAGTTGAAATGTCGATCATTGCACCATTAGTGTCGGAAATAATTTATTTCTTTTTAATATGTCAAAGTGTAAAAACCTACACATAATTTTGTTATTCACCCTGGGCCTGCAATTTTAATAGCATCGTTGGACCTCCTAAAATCTAACCAAGAATAATAACTCTCACACAAACTAGAAAAAGCCTTGTTTCTCCATTATCCTTTCTTTTTTTTCTTTTTTTGGGGGGGTAAGTTGATATGTCGGTCGTTACATTCTTAGTGTTAAAAATAATTTGATATATTTCTTTTTCATATCTAGTTGTAACGACCAACACATCAATTTATCATACACCCTGTGCCTGCAATTTTACTTGCAGCGTTTAACCTCCTAATCTCTTACCATGCATAATAGTTATCATAGAAGCTGGAAAAGGCCTCATTTCTCCATCAGCCTAATTTTTTCAGAAAGTTAATATGTGAGGCAGCATGGTGGAATCAGGCTCTCGTCAATTTTTAGGCATGTAGAGTTATTGTCATCATCTTAAGCTCATTCACTTGTCTTTATTTGGTTTAAAAATATACATTTACCTTGAACACAAGCCGAGATATTTGCGAAAGAAGGAGGTGGGGGTCACCTGTTTTCAGAGGTAAAATTAGTGAGTAAATGGCCGCCAAAGATTAGTTATTTCCTTAGCTTAAGAGTCCGTGGTAACTGAAAATTTACACTTTTGTGCCTTTAATCAACGCTTTTCAGAAAAATCCACAGAGAATTGAGTTCTCAAATGGGCATGAAAGGCGTTGAGCCAAAAAACAAAAATTTGATAAAAATTCACAAACCTGCGGAGAAATGCAAGTTTCTCCACTTTGATTATTTTGACGAGAGCCTGATTCCACCACGCCGCCTCACATATGTTTGTGGTTACACTCTTAGTGTTGGAATTAATATATTTATTTTTCTTTGGTCTTCTTGTAACGACCAACATATAATATTGTAAAGCCTGGATCTACAATATTCCTAGCACCTTTCAACTTCTTTGACTCAAACCAAGCATGCTGGCTATAGAAGCTGGAAAAAAGCCTTAGCTTTCCATCATCCAAATTATTTTAGTAAGTTGGTATGTTTGTCGTTACACTCTTAGTATTGGGAATAATCTTTGGTTTTTACTATTACTCCTATAATGCCACCACGTATCTTGTCGTGCCTGGTCTTATTGGACATACGCTCTGTTTGTTTTACGACCCGACCGACACAATTCTACCATTTAGGAGGTGTGCTATGATCCTGTCTGTCAGGGCCAACCCGGGCCAAGAGGGATACAATGTCTCAGCAGAAATATAAAAAATATACTCGATAAAAACTTCTCTAGTTTTCTGCATGCGATGGCGAAGCGCCTAACAGCTAAACCACAGTCACAATTCCCTCTACCTCAGAATTTAAAGTTCTATCTGACACCTTTGGCCGCTTTGAATTGCCAAGACCATGAGGTCAGAAAACACATGCGTAAGAGTATTAGGAGAGATTATCAAGATATTCAAAGAACTGCATTCGAAAAAGTGTGACATAATTGTGAAACTCAAAAGTTTTGACGTCAACATTCTCAAAACTGGGTATTCAGCAGATAGAACGTGTACAATTATTCTGAGGTAGCGACATGTCAGTCCAGTTGTGACAAGGATAACGAAATACACAAAAAGTATCACTAGGCATAAAAAGCACATGTCTTTTGATTACCTATGACCAGACATTAACTGCTCGACCCCTCCTCCCCCTTTCTCTCTCTCTTTCTCTCTCTCTCTCTCTCTCTCTCTCGCTCTCGCTCTCGCTCTCTCGCTCTCTCTCTCTCTCTCTCTCTCTCTCTCTCTCTCTCTCTCTCTCTCTCTCTCTCCCCCTCCCTCCCTCTCTCCCCAAGTGGATGGTTGGCAGGTGCTCTGGTGTGGTTTGCTTCTTCTTTCCTATAAAAAATCTATCATATTTATCTCTCCTCCTTTTTTTATGAATGTTACTCTCTTGTAACACATCTATTCTTCGGCACGTATATGACCTCGTTGTGTTGCAAGAGCCGTAAAGCTCTTACAAAAACTTTTTTAAAACAACTCCCCCCCCCCCTCTCTCTCTCTCTCTCCCCAGCTCCTCAGTGGAAATCTCTGGACCAGGTGATACTTCTCCCGCCGTCGGGCGTGACTGCGGACAAAGTGGCCAAAGGACTGGGCCTGTCTACCCACAACGCTCTCCTCTACCGCTCTCTCACTGGCGACGCACACCAAAGCTTGTGAGTATATTTGTTGGCAAAATAAAATCGGATGGCAGGACGTCTGAAATAACAACAATAATAATAACAACAACAACAACAACAACAACAACAACAACTACAGACTTTCAGCGTCTCGTGCCGTGCGTGATGAAGCGAGGATCGAGACGTCGTGTTGTCAGCGTAGAGTGAAATTATGAGATCATCTGGAAGTAGTTTCGCCAGTTCGTCGATATAAAAGAGGAAGAGGATGGGTGCCAGGACGGAACCCTGTGGGAGGCCTTGGATCATTTTCCTGTTCTTACTCAGTATTCCGTTGAATCGGACTCTAGCTTGACGATTTTGAGGGAAGTCATTCAGCCATAAAACGTATTTATCTGGGATACCTCTGTCTAGGAAGATGTGGAGTAGGCGTTCTCGTCAGACCGTGTCGTATGCCTTTGAAAAATCGAGCATGAGTACCGATTTCTCCTTTTGGAAGCCGTCGGAAATGTAGGTAATTCTCAGAACTTGGTCTGCCACACCTTTTCCCTTCCTGAAACCAGCCTGCAGTTCGGAGAACCAGCCGGTCCGCTCGGCTATGTCGTACAGTACAGTCGTTCAGATACCATTCTCTCCATAACTTTGATGGCACAGGATAAGAGGCTTATCGGTCTAAACGACGTTAGTTCCGATGCTGGTTTGGCAGTCTTGAGGAGGGGGACAAAGATGGCGTCTTTCCAGACTTGTGGGACATCTGCTGAGCGAAATGACATGTTGAAGATGGAGAGCAGTTTCTCCAGCGCTTTGGGACCAGGTTTTTGAGGAAGGACGGAAGGATGTTGTGTGGTCCGGGTGATCCACGTGACTTCATCTTTGCAATGGCATTCCTCAGTGAAATCGGGCTGGTCTGCCCTTAGGTTGTTCTGTAAGCATTTCAGTCGTTGTTTGAGTTGCCGGTTTTTGGCTCTGTCTTCTTTCAACATGTTTAGAATGCAGACGTTCGCGTAGTGGTCTGCGAATGTGTCCGCCTTATGCTTGATGTCACCAGTCGCCCATAGTGTGACATTGCTTCATTTGGCGAGTTTGTCTCTGGGGTACCGTTGAGGCTTTTTATGATTTTCCTCTTCGACAAAACTCATCACAAAAAAACCTCCAATATCCCACACGCGGACGAAGGAAATATACAAGGCAATTTCCTTAAAACGAGAGACTCAAATTAAGTCCTGCAGTGACCAACTGGCAAAAATCAGGACCGGTCACTTCTCTGGGCTGCGGCCTACAAAAATAGAAGAGACAAAAACATCGGACCCAAACTGTCCTTTGTGCAACGATGAGCCCCAAGATTTGGAGCACTGGCTGCAGAGGTGCCCCGCCACGGAGGTCCGGCGGTG